AAATTCAAAATGGCGGACCCAAAATGTCGACTTCAAAAAAAAATTTTTTTTCAGATTCCCTTAAAACTCGTTACTCGGGGGTTTTCGGGGTCTCTAATTACAAATATGATGTCAGATTTTCAAAATTCAAAATGGCGGATCCAATATGGCGGATGATTTCAAGATTGATGCGAAAAAAATATGAAGTTACCTCAAAAACCCCTGAGTAAACATTTTAGACAAATTTGTCAACATTCAAAAAATTTGATCGACATATTGAATCCAAAATTTAGCATTTAGAAAAACGAACATCAAATTCGAATTCAGCGACCCCAAAAAACCCCGGGAACGGAATTTCGATCAAAACGCATAAATTTTGAAATTATCCGCCATATTGGATCCAACATTTTGAATTTTGTAAAACGAACATCAAATTCAAATTCAGCGACCCCAAAAACCCCCGAGAAACGAATTTTAATCGAATCGCATCAATCTTGAAATTATCCGCCATATTGGATCCGCCATTTTGAATTTTAAAAATCTGACATCATATTTGTAATCAGAGACCCCGAAAACCCCCCAAGTAACGAGTTTAAAGCGAATTTGAAATTTTTTTATTTTTCGAAGTCAACATTTTGGGTCCGCCATTTTGAATTTTTTAAATCTGACTTCAGATTCGGATTCAGCGACCCCAAAAACAGTAGTATGTACTTCGCTACTAAAATCAAATCATGTTTAGTATTTTTTTTTTGAGATGGCCATATATGGCCACAGACGCAAAGGTGGCACGACTTTTCGTGGCCATATATGGGCCATGGACTGTTAAGGGGTTAAAATTGATCAAAAACTTGATTTTTAGCAATTTCCAAAAATTTAATTATTTAAAAATTTGTCAATGATATATAATTAAAAAATTTATTATCTTTAGAAATTAACATTCTAATTTTTTTTTTTAACTGTTATTTTTAATAGTTTTAATTACTATTTTTAATAATTCACGTTTAATATTTTTTGTAAAAAGCCAAAAAGAACGCATTTAAAATTTTTTTCAAAACTTGAATTTTTCTATTTTAATAATTGAATTCTTGAAGAACATTCGGAAAATTATGAAGAATAATTAATTTCGAGTAGAGGTTTAGTTAAAAATAGTATAGAATAATTGAATTTATAGTTGTAATTTATGAACTAATTGAATTTAAGAAGTTTTGAAATTGAAATTTTTCAAATTTTAATTCCTATGGAAAATTAAATAACAGATATTTAAATATTTTTTTAACTGAGTAAAATTTTGAGTAATTGAATATTTTATTTTATTATTTATTTTTAATTTTTAATAGACATAGTCAGGGTTGGACCAACTATTGAACTTTGTTTACAACTTGAAAAAAAATTTTAATAATTGAGAATTATATTATTATATCCTACCTTGACTAAGGTCCAACCTTGACTATGTTTCCCTAAAGATTCGTTCATTAAATAAATTAGTAAAAGTTTTGACTAATTCTTAGTCAATAACTACTAATTAGTGGTAAAAAACTACTACAATTCATTTGATAAAGCTACTAATAAAAAAAGAACAAATAGGCAAACAAAATCTGCTTTTTAAGTAGTAAAGGATTATATCAAGTCAGACAAAATTAAAAATTTAAATAAAAAAAAACAAGGTAACAGTATTTGATATCTTTAGAAAAACTGTGATTGTGAATTAGTGGCTTAATTTTCGCATTAATTTAGATCTAAAGAGAATTTTCCAATTTAAAGAAAACTTTAAAAAAAAAAAAATGAAAACAGAAATTCTAAACAGTTTTTGTTTTTAATATATAAGAATAAATAGTGTAAGTTGTATTATTCACTTTTTTTCTCTCTTGTGAATAGGGAGGAACTTTCTGTTAAAGTTTGTGCTCTGTGTGTTTATGTATGTTGCCAATATATACCACGTGGCAAACAAGGTTTTTGTTCGTGTTTGTTTTTGCTAGGAGTCAGTTTAGAAATTCCTTCCGTCTATCTGTATCTTTGGCAATGGAATTTTACGGTTAATCGATGGTTGTCGAAGAGGAGTGAGAAATAGAGAAAGAGAGGAATGAGAAATACAAAACGAGCGCGTGATGTCGATCAATAAAGAGCGCCCCAGACGATATAAAATGTATAAATGTACGCAATGTAATCGGTATACATATATATATATATATATATATATATATATTTCTATGCCTAGTTTGACATGTTTAGGTATTTCTATTAAAATATGTAAATTTATCGTTGCGCATATTTGAAAACGGATAAATTATATGCCGGTCGTGTATCGTTCGTTCGTTCGTTGCTCGGTCGGTAAAATATCGACGGGCACGCAAAAACGGGTACCGCTCATAACGGCACGCTCTCTGTCGGCCAACGCAACACGAATGTTATTTATGACGCTCATTGTGTAACGATCATAAATTATCTCGTTATTTACGAAGGGAGTCTCCAACCACATATACATACAGTATTCGGGGGGAGGGGGAGCGGCTAATGCAGGATTCACTTTTATACACTTTATATTTGGTTTTTGGATGTAGCTTGCTGTTTTCACAAAAAAAAGTTTGAAATCGCTCGCGTGGAAATAACTTTTCACTATTGGTTGTATATATATTGGCGAAACACAAGCCGCACTAATATAGGTATAAGAACTAATTTAAATAGCTTTTGTAATTTGAATTGTTTCAGTGATGTTCGTTTATTGTTTCTAAAGTGGGATATTTTGGGTCAGGATTGAATTATCAGGGTTTCTACAAGTCATAGAAAACCTGGAAATCATGAAATTGTCATGGGGTTTCATTTTGATTCATAGAATCATGGAAATCTCATGGAATTTCTAATCGGATCATTAAATTTTTTTAGTTTTTGTTGTAAACCCGTATGATTAAAATTCGCACTCCTTTATTACTCAGGGTGGTCACAAGTTTCTATTTATCAAATTCCCTGACAATTTACTGACATTAAAATTACTTTCCCTAACAAAATTCTTTTTACAGTAGGAAAATATTAATGTTTATGGAAAATGAGTAAAATTTATGAATTTTAATAATTTCTAAAAATTACAATTATAACCCTTCTTGAATTTAATTATTTTCTACAATTTTCAATTAAACTTCATCTCTGAATCAGTTAATTTAAATAATTTTCCAAAAGTTCATCTAGAATTAAATTATTTAAATACATAAACCCAATTTTTTATAATAATTGTGACTCTCCACAGTTTGTTCTTAAGTATAATATTTTTAAAAAAATATAATAAAGAAATTCTTACAATTAATGTTTTTTAAATATTTTAAAATAATTTTTGAACGATAATAGTTTTTCAATTTTGAATGATTTCCAAACAATTAAAATTTAGTAAACTTTTTTTTAAAAATAATTGAATTTTTGAAAAGTATAAATAACAATGATCAAATTTTTGAAGAATTTTAATTATAAACCGGACCAAGATTTCTTAAAAATTTTAATAAGTATAAAAAGTAAATTTTGAATCTTAAAAAATTATTACAAAACAATTCTAATAATTAGTTTTCAAACATATTTTATTAATGTAATTTTTCGAAAACAATTGAAGAATTTTTGTTTAATTTAAAAAAACTAATGAATTTTTTGATGAATTTTAATTAAAAATAAAATTTTGAACATTGTTGTTTTCTTGAAAATGTTAAAAATAGTTCTAAAATGTTATTATTTTTGGAAATATGTAATTAAAAATATTAAAAATATTGAATTTTATAAAATTAGAAGATTTTTGATAATTCAATTATTTTCAAAATTTGCAATTAAAATTCTTCAAAAGTTGATTTTCAAAAATTGTAACAAAATACTTGAAATAAATTCATTATTTTCAATTAAATTTTACAAACATTTAACTATTCAAAAACAATTTTTGAAAGATTTGTTTATAGTTATTTTTTGCATTATAAAAATTAAAATAAGTTGCACGTTTTTTTTTTACTAAAAATTGTGGTATTTTGTTTTTTCTAATCGATTTGAATTATTTTGTTGTCGGACTTATCGGCAATTATTCCACTTAAAAGGTCATTTTAATTTTATCTGTTAATTTGTCTGACTGAACTGGTTTTATACTACTTAAAATGTTGATAAAATGACCTTTTTAATATTATATGGAAATTTTCGTCATCTTTTATTCTTTTCGAAATGCCAATTTTTGTCTGACCTGACGAACTTTGTTCTAATTTAAGTTAAATTTCACCTTTTCGACTCGATTATCTTATAAAATACACTGTCTCTTCTTTAGATTCTTTTTTCTCTTCTTTACTTTTGTAATTTCTTTTTTTAATTAATTCTTTTGCTTATTTTTTCTTTTGAAATTGTTTTTTTACACTTTGGAAGATTTAAAGGATTTTATTTTATAAAGTTTGTTGGTTTTCGATTATTTATTTGTTATTATTTGCCATCATTTGGATTTTGATTATTTATTTTGATTTTGTTTATTTATTTAATATAGTTATTGATTAATTATTTAATTAATTATTGGTTATTTATTGCTTTTCGTTTATTTATTTGTTAATTATTGATTAATTATTAATTAATTATTGGTAATTTTTTGCTTTTCGTTTATTTATTTGTTATAGTGTTCGTTATTTTTTGTTTGTCTATTTATTTATCATTATTTGTTTATTTATTTCGACTTTGGTTATTTATTCATTAATTACTAGTTAATTATCGTTGATTTATTTCTTTTACGGAACATATATTTTTCTTGTTTTAATTTTTAATTTCTTTTTTAATATTTAATCTCTCTGCGTGATTTAATATGCGACTTTTGATATCGAGTGATTAAAGAATTATTGGTATTTATTATTTTTCGAATGAATATTACATATATTTATGGATTTCCAAATATCTGATATAGTATTATATATCAAATAACTATACAACTATTCTTCGAATATTGAGGGCTCTCTCTCTCTGTGCAATTTGAGACGCTTGAAATTGTTCGATACTGACACTATGTTATGCATCTTGCTATTCGAAACTTGTTGTCTAATAATAATTAATTGTCAAACATGAAGTAATGTCTTGATATTCAAGAAATAATTACACGTTTTAATAATATTGATAAATTGCTTCACTCGCATAGTTTTGATGGGATTATATTTTTCTTTTGATGCTTATAATAATTACTATTTTTAAGAGTTCTTTTATCTAAATGTTTATTATTAATGTTTAGTAAAAAAATTAGTGTCGATTAAAAGAAATATTTAGGGAAATTTGGAAAAAAGTAGAAGAATTTGTAAGTAGAAGAAATATTTGTGAAATTTGAAAATTTATAGATAGAATACAATACTTTTTTCTGTATTGTATAATAATTTACAAATAAACATCAGCAATTCCCTTCTTAATTGTTGCCTGTCCTCTGAATTGAAATTTCTGAAATCTAAAACCAAAAATAATTTTTTTAATCTTCTTGTACAATTTTTTTTTATTTTCAATAAATAAAAAAATAAAATGAGATGTAATTGAAAAAACTTATTGGAAACATTAAAATCGAAGAAAAATATTTACCTGCACTTCGTGCCTAGTACCAAGAGCATACATTAAAGCGTCAGCGATGTCTTCCGGTAAAATACGAGGAAGTGTTTCAACGTATTCTTTAATTTCTGGAATATTGACGCCAAATTCTGTTGCAACTAATCCTGGACAAATTCCCTGTAAAAAATTTTCAAATTACCAAAATTAATCTTTGGTAAATAGTAAACGTAAAATTAACGTAAATAATATAATTTAAATAATAATTATAAAAAATTATTATTATCATAAAAATAATAATAATTATAAAAATTATAATTATCATAATAATAATTATAATAATAAAAATTATGATTATTATTAACTTACAGTTATTCTAATTGGAAGTTTAGCTGCTTTTATTTCATGTCGAACGCTTTCTGTCATTGCAACAGTTGCATGCTTACAAGCCGGGTACAAATTCCATCCATTGGCTCCTTCTTTGTCAGTAAATCCATCTGAGGGGATTATGTGACCCAGTGCACTTGAATAATATAAAAATGTAATAAATAATATTAAATAATATAATAATAATATAAATAAAATAGTTTACATAAACTTTGTAAATAATAAATTAATGAATAAAATAAAAAAAAACTAATAATAAAATGATAAGAAAATTTCAGGCAATAATAATAAAAATATGAAATTCAATGCAAAAAAAAGAAAATTAATATCATCATAGTGAAAATAGTTAAAAAGAACGAAAGGAAAAAGATTTTATAAGTAATTGCGAAAAATATATGAATAAATATTTTAAAAGAAGAAACCTGTTAATGTTGAAAATATGTCCCTCGACCTTTCTAGCTCTCATTGAAGCAACAGCTTTTTTAATGCAAGTTGCCATTGCGAGAACGTCAATATTCAATAAACGCTCGAATGTCTGTCTGTCACTATCTGAAAGTGCAATTTTTATTTTCTTAAAGCAAATATATAATAGTAAATTGCCCTCCAGCCTCTGTAGAATATTAAAAACAAAATATGTAACAAATAAAAAATGTTACACGAAAGAGATTTTATTTGATTTCAAATGAAATAAATTTTTTTTCCCCAATGTAATAAATTGAAATAATAAAGCGAAAAAACGAATAAAAATGTACTTTATATTGAAAATAAAATATATAGTATCTAGAATATAAAAAAAAAATGGTAGAGAAAAAAAAATATATAATGGAATATGAAAAAGTAAGAATGTATAAAAAATAAAATAATAAACTTTTTTTTTTGAAATAAGAATAAAAATGCTTAGAAAATAAAATAATACACTTCTTTTTGAAAAAAAGGAATGTCAAGAAAATAAAAGAAAGTATAAAAAAAATATTGATAAAAATATGAAAAAAAGTATTGTAGAAACAAGTATGACAGTTTCATGGGGGGAAAAAAGAAAGAGAGGAAGAAAAATAGGAAAAAGCTTGAAATTTTTCTCTTTTTCACTATATGCTTTGCTTTTATCTTTTTTCTGTATATATGTATTGAAGACATATAAGCTTCGTTCATTCGGTAAATTACCACACTTTTATGGTACAGTCTTTGTCGGATATACTCGAACCACACTTACACTATGGCCTTAGAATAGCTCTTTACTACGATACTGGAATGTCGCTTAGAAACTTCTAGCTTTTACAGAGTTTCACAGACTTTATTTCTTGTTACAAAATGTTTTTTCTTGTCTTTCTTTAGTCAAAATGTTTATATTTTTCTTTAACAAAAAGATAATTTTTCTTTTCAATTATTTCTATGATATTTGGTGTTTCCTTTTAATATTATTAAAATGCAATTTAAAAAGTAATTTTAATTATTATTTTTGAGTTTAAAATTAAGCTCTAAGTTGATTAACATTATTTGCAATTTAATTAAAACCAGTAACTTCTTACTACCTTTTTTAAATAAAATTATCAATTTTAAAAATAATAGAATTTAAAAAATTTCTAATTTAAATTTTTGTTGAAAAAAAATTCAACACTAAAAAATTCAATTTTGGAGAAATTACAAATAATTGGAAAAATTCAATTATTTTCAAAAAAAAAATTCTTATAAAATTCAACTATGTTCAAAATTTAAAAAAAATTGTCGTAAATATTCCAAATTATCTTTACAAATAACAAAATTCTTCTCCAAAGTTCAATTATTTTCATAAATGTCAAAAAAATTCTTGTCCTACTTGTCCTAATTGTTTTCAAAAATTTTTCTAATTTCAATAATTTTTAATATCTACCTACTATTTTAACCAAATTTACCAAAAAGAATTCAATTATTAAAAAAAAAATTTAATAAAATTGTATGCAAACATTTAATTATTTGCATAAATAATAAATTTTTTTTAAGGAATTCAATTATTATTTTCATAAAAAATAATTTAAAATTCTACAAAATAATTGAATTAAAATGATGAAGATTAAAAATAGGATTAAAAATAGGAATTGTGCAAATATTTTTCTTCTTTTTCTAAAACAAAATAATAATTTTGTTAAAAAAATTGTGATTCATAAACAAAAATAGTGCAAAATAAATAAATTTTCTATTTCTTAATCACAGTTGTTTTACAATTTTCTAATTTTGTTTATAAGTAAATAACAAAACTCTGCATAATTTCAATTTAACAAAACATAATATTTAACAAAATTTTAGTCTTTTAGTGAAAAGAAGTGAACAAAATTTGACGATTTCTATTTGTCATTACAACTTTAAATTAATTATAAAATAAAAATTAATAATAAAGTACTTGTTCCGGTAATCTGTTCGCAATTTGAAGTTATAGTTGATTGCTTTTTTGTTTCTTAACTTTTTTATAATTTTTCTTTTCAAATATTTTCAATTTTTAAATTAATGTATTGAAAATCATCGAATTGTTGCAAAGAATTTTATCAAAAAATTTGATAATAATAGAATTCCTTCAAATAATTGTATTATTTAGGAAAATAACTGAATTCTCGCGAAGAATTTTTAAAAAATTTTAAAGAATTCTAATTAAATTCTTTTTAAGAATTTCTTTGAATTTTTTTTAACTAATGAAGTTTCTTTAAGAATTTTAATTGAACATTTTGATAGCAATTGAATTTTTTAAAGAAGAATTTTATTAAAATTGCATTGAAAATAATTGAATTTTTGCTAAGAATTTTACTATTTATAAATATAATTGAATTGTTCCAAAGAATTTATTAAAGTTTTAGAAAATAAATAAATTTTATGTTAATATTTGAAAATTTAAATTCTATCGAGGAATTTTATTAAAATTAAGTATAATTAAAATAATTGAATTTATCACAAGAATTTTATTATTTTTTGAAAATAATTGAATTCTTTCATTTTTTTACGAATATATTTAAAAATTGCATTGAAAGTAATTCAATTTTTATATAGAATTTTTTAAAAATATTTTGAGAATAATTGAATTATTTTTAGAGAATTTAAAATTCTTGTTGAAATCTCAAGGGACACAACAAATTTAAATATTATTAAAGATTTTATTTATCGAATGTTTTTGATATTAACATTTTTTCTAGTGTCCCGAAATTAATTTTTTCAATTTATTCAAAAATTTTGTTTATTAATTATCGAGAGTTGACTGTATTTTCATTTATAAAAATACTTTTGTACAATTTCATTTATTAAATTTAATTTATACTTTTATTTATAATTTAATTTATGAATTAGATTTATATGAATTTGATTAAGAATAATTTATAATTGATTTATACTTATTTTATAATTTAATTTATTAGTAATTATAATGAAGAATGCGTGATATATTAAAAAAAATGTTTTCATGTTTTATTCGCATTTAAAAGTATAAAATAGACTAAACATGATATAATGGTTGGGAGAATTTGCATTAAATATATATATGATAGTAGAGAAAGTGTATAATATCATTTCATTCGATGGAGTTAATGACTTTGTTGGGAAATTTCAACGTTGAGTACATTTCAATTATATTGCCAATGTTATCATAACAAAATGAGATTTTCAATATACGGGACATTTCACCATTTTCCACACATTGTGAACATTCTCTCTCTCTCTCTCTTTCTTTTTTTTTTGGACAAAACAATTTTTGTAACCAATGTTAAAAATTTTTATAACGGTAGAATAATATTGAAAATTGAGAGGAGAATTTTGTTTTTAAAATAAAAAATATTTTTTTTGTAACGTTTTGAATTTATGGGTAGTTTAGGGCTGGTTGAGTAATATTCACAAAGAAACTTGGGGTAATATTAACGCAATATTGAGGCAATATTACACACATAGAATTTGAATATTCTTTCGAAATATTTAATATTAATTAATTGGTTTAATATTAATTTATTGGTTCGATAAATAATAATAATTATAGTAATGACATTTACTATAATTATCGAATTAATTTAATAATTATTAAATTAATTTAATAATTGTTGATATTAATGTGAATATTGTGGGTTGTTTTACCCCGGAATATTGCCTTAATATTCCCATGTTCACTAGTGTAAAAATTTACCAAATTTATAATATTTAACACACATATAAAATAATAAAGAAAAATTAACATTTTCTCGTCTAATATGAAACTTGGGTTATTTTTTGGTAGCATTTTTTTTTTGCTATTTACCGACAGGACTTACCGATAATTCGTGAATAATTGCAAATTCCAGCATTATTCACCATTATATCGACACCTCCCATATATTCATCGGCAAACTTAAAAGCTTTTTGAATATCATCATATTGAGAGAGGTCACATCTGATTGGATGTAATTTACCAAAATTCTTGTTTTTATTGATTTCATTGGCTGCTTTTTCTAAACGTTCCTTTTGAATGTCCAAACCAACAACATTTATTCCCTTCGATAGTAGAGCTTGCGTTATTGCTGCTCCCATACCGGAAGCAGCGCCTGTCACTATCGCTGTTTTTCCTCTCCAACGGTCCATTCTGAAAATTATTATCGATTTTAGAATTTTTTTCTTTGGCGCATTTTTTCTTTCTTCTTTTCTTTCTCTTCTTTCTTTTATTGTATCTTTGAAATTCGGATCAAATATATATAACTTTTTGTTATTGATTTTATAGTAATGAAAATAATAATTAAAACTACTGTTTTTATAATTATTTTTAATAATAATAATAACAAGAATTATTATTATTATTATTATTATTATTATTATTATTATTATTATTATTATTATTATTATTATTATTATTATTATTAGTATTTAAAAAAAAGTTTTTAAAGTAAGAAAATTATTTTCTATTATAATATTTAAAATGAGAAATTAATTTTGACATAAAGTAATAGAAAACAATTTTTTATAAAATAAATTAAAAAAATTAATAAATTAAATTTTATTATAAAAAAGTATTTATTTTATCGTTAATTTTGTACTTGACTGAAATATAGTTTTAATTAGCTCAAATAATATTTATAACTATGTTATAGTGATAGTGTAAAGATAAAGAGTTATTAGTTTTTAACAGTGGTAATTTTCTACAAAGATAAACTTTTGTTTGATAATACAATATACTCAAGTAAGTGGTTATTTTTGTCATTTAAATATTTTTATCCACAGCTATTTATACAAAAGCCTTGTATTTCTTGTAAATGAATTGTTTCCAATTGTTAGGTATAAACCGGTTTTAATGTCGCTCATTTAGATAAGAAACTTGACAAATGCAAAAATTTGTATCTCTAAATTTTATAAAAAATTTTTACGTTGTTTTTACTTTTTTCCATCTTTCTTTTTGGTTTTTCTTTTTTAAAAATTGAAGTTTTTTCTTATGAATTAATAACTAAATTATTAATTGCCGAAATAATTAATTCTTTGTAAAATAAAGTTAATAATTTTTTAATTTCATTGTATTTTATTCGATCGATAATTCTCAGAAAAAAGGATGGCTTAAAAAACGTCATCTTATTTTAAGATAATTATTCTCCACTTGAGAGTAATTCCTCTTAAAAGTAGAGGAATTAGTTTTTTTTAAGATTAATATTTTTAATTTAAGAATAAAATGTAAAGGATTTTAGAAGAGAAATTTTCTTCTCAAAACAAGAATATTTTTTCAAGTTAATTTATTTCATTATTTATTATGTATATTGATAAATTATATTAAATAATGCGGATTATTATTAATAATAATGAATTATAATAAATAATGCATATTATATTTAATAATAATGAATTTATTTTAAATTTTAACTTTATTCACTTTTTTAACTCTATTTTAATTTGACGTTTATTTTGATTTCATAACAAAACATTTGGTTTATTTAAACTGTTGTTAATTTAACGACTAATGTTTTCTTTATGAAAATATTTTTCATGTTTACTTTTTATTTGACAACAAAATATTTGTTTTTAACGCAAATTGCGATTAATTAAAAAAAATTCAATATTGGTTTGTAAGTTTAAATTAAAAAATGTTTTTAATTAGTTTGAAATTTAATTGAAATGAGTTGTAATGAAAAAGTAAATAGAACTTAATTTACAGTTTTTTTCCTTTGAGATTATTTTGTACTATTTATATGTGAATTTTTTTTTTAATACTTTATTCAATTACTTTACCTTGACGAAGTTTAATTAATCTGCTCAAATCTAGTGATACTAAATGCGGATAATATTGTTCTGAGCACGTTGCCTTCCACTTGGCAATAGATGCTTGTTATCTCCAAGTTGGGACTTTACTTTTTATTACTTTCAATTATATAATACTATGAAGGTCGTTTGGTTGTGACGCATAAAAAAAATTTACAATTTAAACTGTTTAACACAATTTTTAAACTTTGTAAATATATATACGTTCAAAATGAATAATTTGAATTAATAATTTTTATCATTCATTATTGAGTTTTATAAATTGATTTGCATTTGTATCTTTATGGATTTATCTTTCAGCAAAAAATATTTTTTTTTTGGTCATTTTTAAAATGAGGATCAAATAATTCAGTATTACATCAGTATTTCATGATAATTATAATTAATTATTCATCGTAATTGATTCAAATAACAGAATGCAATTTATTTGATTTACATAAAAAATTAAGATGGAGAAATTACTGCTCACTTGATTCAAATTATTAAAAATAGTTGAAGTGAATATTTTAGTTAATCGAAAAAAATTATAATTAAAGTAAATATATATTTGAATTAATTAACAATTATGTTTGTAGTAAATTTTTAGTTGATCGGGAAAAATTTATAGTTGGAATAAATATTTATTTGAAAATCAGTTGGCAAATATAGTTAAAATAAGTGTTTAGTTTATTTGGTGTATTCAGTTTTATTTCTAAATCTAATTTTTAATTTTTATGAAAAAAATATTATATAAAAAATTATAATTTTTTCTATTGAAAAAATAATATAAATTCATAAATTAGGAAATTTATGAATTAATTAATAAAAATCAAATTTTGTTATTTGTTTACAATTGAAATGTTTTTATTTTTTTTTCAAGTGCGATTTTCGTGAATCACACTGATCGATGGGAAGATGTAGGGGGGAGGGGTAGTAAGGGGGTGTACACAAATTGAAACTCTGCCATTTTATGGTGAAGTGCGGAACATTGACAAATGCCGGAGAGCTATGGAGAACTTTTCTTTAACATTTTATCCGCATGCTTGCCGATGAAATATCTCTCGAGACTCGTAATGATTGCCGCGAGCTATTCTGGTTTCTGAGATCACAAATTAACCGCATTAAATACGCGATGCCATCACTAGTAAATGAGGACATTTTTCTTTTTTTTTCTGTTCATTTTTCTCCGCAAAAACCTGAGAAATTGAAAATGTCTTAGTTTACGATTTTAAAGGCGATACGTGATTTTGTGAAACTTTAAGAAAAAGTTCCAATATTACGATTAAATTTTCTTCGGGGTTATTTATTGATTTTACTTTTTTTTCTAAAATATTTTTGGACTTTCTTTCTCTGTTGGGGAATTTTTTTGAATATTTATACCTCTGGTGATAATTATCACCTCTGGGGTAAAATTTTGTAATTTGACTTTGGCTTCGATTTTGACTCAGACTTTGAAAGTCAAAGTGAAAGTCAAAGTTAGAGTCAGAGTCAAAGTCAAATTACAAAATCGCACTTCTGATAGAAAACTTTTTAAAATTGAAAATAGAAAATTATCCTGTAAATAATTATTTAATGCTTCTAAAGTTAATTTATTCAATTTTTGAATATTTAAATTTAATTTGTTTCTATTAATTTATTTTTTTATATGTTAAAATCCAATTTTTAATTGTTATTTTAAAAGATATTTTAATTAATTTCCTTTTTTATTTTGGTTTCAGGTATGTTCGTTCATTTTGAAGAATACACAAAATACTACAAATTGGTGAGTCAATTGTTTTAAATATACATAAAATAGTACAAATTGGTGAGTCTTTTTCTATTATATATATATTTTATTCCAAATTAAATCATTAAATAATTTTCGAACTTGAAAAAACTATGGAACACTACAAACAAATTTGTAATTTGTTATGTATAAAAATTTTATATGGTTAAAAATTAGCACGTGTTTAAAAGCTGATCGGATGACGCAATTTATTATTCCCCTTAATTTTATTCGCTAAAATTCAATTATAATTAAATTATTATAATTAATTCTTACAAAATTATTGTTTTTTATTATTATCACTTATTATTTATTATGATTATTTATTACTGTAATAATAATAATAATAATAATAATAATAATAATAATAATAATAATAATAATAATAATAATAATAATAATAATAATAATAATAATAATAATAATAATAATAAAATAAATAATTATTATCTCTTATTATTATTCGTTTTATTACGAATCGCTTTTCTTCTCGAATATTTCGCTTTCATATTTGTAAACTACATATTTTGTATATATTGTTAATCGTGAAATTATTTTCAACGTTAACTTGTTAATTACCTGGATCAAAACTGAAGGCCAGTGTGACTCACACTCTCGTTTCCTGGGTTCTTCGATAACGACTTCCCACACTAGATACGGTCCTGAGGACCATCTCTCTTTCATACATATTCATGAGGCAATAAGGCCACCGCTGATCTTCCGGGGAATGGAATTATGAAACAACAAGAGAAGAATAGAAAATAGGAACGTCGCACAAACCCTTGCAGCGATATAGGGTAGTTACCCCTCTTTTTTTTCCTACAAACCCCTCCCCCCCTACCTCCCTCAAACCCCACGTTTTTTTCGTTCTTTTGCCTTCTTCTTTCTTTTTGTTTCTTCCCTTCATTTTTCTCCATCCAAGTTCCGTTTTACTTTTCTTTCTTTTCTTCATTGTTTTGTTCATTTGTGTTTTTTGTTCTTATTCCTTTTTGGTGTTTTCCTTCATTTTTCTTTGAAAACATTGTTTTTTTAAATTTTTTTCATAGTTTTTGTTTTTGGTTTAAATTTAGTTTTTAGGGACTGAATTTAGGGGGATTTTGTTATTATTGTTATTAATATTATTATTTATTATTTTTTTATAACTATATTATTATTATTATTATTATTATTATTATTATTTATTGTTAATAATTAATAGTAGTAGAAAATAATGGAAATATTGGTAAATTAATAACAATAAATTAATAATAGTGACAAATAACGAAAAAATCAGTAATAAATTGTGAACAATAACAAATATTTAGTAAATAATGTATAGTAATAAATATTTAAAAAAGTATAAAAAATAAAGAGAAAAAATCAAAGGACTTACTATCTTTTTTATATATTGAGTAAATATTAAAGTAAATAGTACAAATAATAATAATAATAGTTATAAAAATAATAAATAGTTAGTGAATAATTACGTTATTATTGTATGGTAAATTGTAACTGTCGTTAGTGCAAAATGTTGGTGTCTCTGAAAGTTGTGCAATGGCAGCCATATATACTGTATAATGTTGAATTTCATATAGAAGCGAGTCGTAAGCATTGATGTAGTCTTTCACAATTGAGTATACAATCTCAAAGTCAGCACAATAGATAAGTTTTAATTAGCAGCAGTATGAGACGATGTGACAAAGGAATTTACCTGGCGTCAGCAGATAACAGATTGTCACTCATCAAAAGCACCAGTTTTCTTTAGGAAAAACGACACCATGTATAGTGATGCGACGGTATTTTAGTACAGACGTGAATACAATAAGACACCAGCAATGAAAATTATTTTAGTAATCACAATGTTTTTATTCTTCCTATTCTTCTTCTTCTCTCTAATTTTTTCTCTAAAAATTTAATGTATAATTACAAAAAATTGAAATATTTAGAAAAAATTTTGTTTAGGGTTATGAAATGAAATGAAATTTATTTAAGTTTATTTTCAATTCAATTGAATTAATTTTCAAATTATTTTTAATTCAATTCGATTAATTTTCAATGCAATTAAATTAATTTTCAATTCAATTCGATCATTTTTCAAATAAATTACTTTTCAAATCAATTCAATTAATTTTCAATACAGTTATTTTTAATTAAGAGTCGAATAAAAATGATTCATTAAAAATTTTAATTGTTAAATAATTAACAAGTTTTTTTAATTGATAGCTACATTTTTTATTGAAGTAAAAATTGAATTGAAAATTTAATAGAAATATTGTCAATAAAACTTGAAATGAAGATATAAAATGTAGTCGTAATAAATGATTGAAATGATACTGAATAATAGAAAAAGTAAATTATAATTGGAAGAGTTTTTAAAATTGTAAATTTAATTCACAATTTAATTTATAGAAGAATTATTATTAAAATTAATTAAAATTATTATTATTAAAAATACTAAAGAAATTGAATTTTGGAGAAGTTACAAATAATTGCAGAAATTCAATTATTTTCAAAATAATAATAATTCTTAATAATAAATAATAAATAAATAGTAAATAATAAAAAAAAATTCTAGTTGAAATAAATAAACTAAATTGAATTAAAATATTACTATGATAAAAATATAAATTAATATAAATACACAGGAAAAAAAAGTCTGACTCCGTTTACAACTTAAATTCAGCCCATGTATTTCACATAAGTCTGTCCTTGTTTAACGGGGCTGACTCCGTTTACATCTTAAATTCAGCCTCAAAAATAGGCTGAAAGTAAAATTTTTTTTTTTTAGTGTGTAGTAGTAAGAAAAAATATCAAAAAATAGTAGTAAAAATAAAAAATTGTTTAAGAAAGAAAAAAATGATAAAGACACGAGACTAATAATGTTGATATAGTGGAAGTGGAATTTTTAATTATGAATCTCCTCTTAGCTAGAATTGTATACAGTGCAACGTCACTCATACCCCAGAAACAATACTATCCTTGGATATAACTGTGATGGACGCACAGTATTCATATTTGAAACTTGCTCACAAACGGTATCCTTGTCTCTCGTTGAGTAGAAGCTACCTCGACAGATCCACAAATTTGCAATCACGACAATGATCCTCCAAGCAGAGGGTAAATCTACCCTAACGGTAGAATCGATATGTTAGGTATGCCAAGTGCAATCGTGTATGCGTGCCGAGTTACCCCCCACCTCTTCATTCTAAACAGTATATTTGCATACAATTAAAAGTTTGTAATTTCCCATGTACCCTCCTCCCTCTCTCTCTATATATCTCTCAATTACCCTGTACTTATTATCGTATATAATGAAACATTTCAATAATGTCTTTTTATATTTATAAATGGAAAATAAATTGGGACAATTTTGCGCGGGGACTTTGTATTCTGATTT